CACGCTCTCATGGTTACTGTTCTACTATTGGTGACCCCTGAGCCGGAGCTGTACAAAAGGCCTTCCTCTGCATGTCAGGCTCCCTACCAGGTACATGACAGTAGTCTAGTGGGTGTATAGTACCAGCGCGTCAACAGTTTAAAGCCAGATTCTTGGTATTTAGAACAGACAGAGGTTTTATACGTGAACTCAAGGATCCTCTCCACTTGTTTATCTGTAAAACGCACCCCTAAGCCTTGTTCCCAACTGGAAATGTAGGGCAGTTTGTATATTGGGGGTGAGGAGACCAGTAGTCGGTAAGTCTTCAAAATCGTGTGACAGATCGGAGAGTCTTCTGAACATAGAGTTTCAAATGGAGTAAGGCTAGTTGAAGGTCGCAGCCGCACGCAGAGAACAGAGAAAATTAGACAATTGGACTTTGTGGCAAAAGGACAATTCCGCAAAGATTGGGGTTTCCATAATTTTTCGTCTTGAGAGCTATTGGCCATTTGAGAGGAATTGTCAGGCCTATAAAAGGCCAAGAGATTTCAGGGCTTGGAATCTCGGATCCTGTAGACCCAGGCTGAAGGCCAGACCAGAATCCCCACTATTAGGGTCAGTGGGGGCACCAGTGATTTTGGTGAGGTCTTGAAAAGTTTGTGGCAAATATGCCATATCTCTACCACAGTGGGGTGTGCAATCGTCGAGGTAGGTAGATCCGTACAGCACCAGGGTGGTGAACTCAGCGGTACCCCCGATAAGGCTCGTTCCACTTATTCCCATTGCTTAAAAGTACCATACTGGCACCAGTCCAGCACTCTGGTCAAATAACAAGCAATATGATACAAGGTCACATCAGGTAAGGCGATTCCCCTTAGAAGCCTTAGGGACAACCGAGGACTCCTTGCCCAAACAAAATTACTGATAGTCCGGTTCGCCGCCTGAAGGAACGAACCTGGGATAGCCTGAAGAGGATAGAAAAGTCTGGGCAGAATAATAGTCTGTTCTGCCAGGTCGATAGGTCTTTTTTTTTATTGATTTTAAGAGTGGTGGGAAGTTCAGTTGGAAAACGTCAAGTATTTGATGTGTGACGTTGCCTGTTTGAAAGGAAAATTGGCTCTAAGTAAGGTGAACTGAGAAGCTGACATGTACACATTTAAAGCCTATGACTTTTGACAGTTAACCCAGAAGAGTGAAAGAATCTCATACGTCTTCAGTTCTGAAAGTAAATTAGGGAGGGATACAAGAGGGTTAGAAAGAAAGAACAAGTCATCTGCATATGCGGTGACTTTTGGGGTCAACAAGGGGTCGACAGAGATGCCCTGGATATTGGGTGAGTCCCATTGGTGATCGCAAAGGAGGGAGATAGATGTCCATTCACCTTCACCTGAGCAGAGGGGTGGGAGTAGATGGCCTACATCCACTGCATTATCCGTTGCCCTAGACCAGCAATGGGCAAACTACGGCCCGGCGGACCTTTTAATCCGGCCCGGCGGACCTTTTAATCTGGCCCGCGGAGCTAGGCTCCCGCTAGGCTCCTCTCACAGTCCGCCCTGAAGACCGGTGTAGCATGAAAATCTGTCTCCTATGAGGTTCTGTCCCCCTCGACGTATCTGCGCATATGCCGGAGATCGCCGATCGGCTGCTAATGCCTGAAACTGGCACATGCGCAGATACGTCGAGGGGGACAGATCCTCATAGGAGACAGATTTTCATGCTACACCGGAACGGCGCGGGAACACGGCGAGAGGATCGCACGGAGCAAAGGTAAGTGAATTGACACAGGGGGGACTTGGGGACTTAATATGGGGAATGAATTACTATATGGGGGATGAATTACTATGGGGGGATGAATTACTATAGGGGGGATGAATTACTATAGGGGGGATGAATTACTATAGGGGGGTGAATTACTATATGGGGGATGAATTACTATGGGAGATGAATTACTATATGGGGGATGAATTACTATATGGGGGATGAATTACTATGGGGGATGAATTACTATATGGGGGATGAATTACTATGGGGGATGAATTACTATATGGGGGATGAATTACTATATGGGGGATGAATTACTATGGGGGATGAATTACTATATGGAGGATGAATTACTATGGGGGATGAATTACTATATGGGGGATGAATTACTATGCTTACTATGGGGGAATATTACTATACTTACTATGGATGACACATACACATCATTCATCTACTCTTGGTCCGGCCCCCGGGTCCAATATATGAACCCATTGCGGCCCTCAAGTCAAAAAGTTTGCCCACCCCTGCCCTAGACCAATGTGTCTCAATGATTCCTTTAGAAAGATCCAGTTTACTTGGTCAAATGCCTTTTTGGCATCAGTGGAGAGGAGCAACATAGAGATATTTTGGGACTGAGCAGCATGAATTAGATTTATGGCCTTAGTCGGGTGGGACAAAGCCCTCTTGATCAACATAGACCAGGCCTGGGATGGAGTCAATCATGCACATAGCTAACATTTTGGTGAATAATTTAAGGCTGACATACAGGAGGGAGATGGGTCAGTATTTTTGACAGTAGAGTGGGTCCTTGTCCTCCTTCGGTATCACCGAAATATATGAGCCTGGAGTGTGTCTTTCAGGAAAACTGCCCCCGTGTCCACTGCATTTTAGGCAGCCAGAAAATGTGAAGAAAGGGGACTGAACCTTTTCAGTAGAGCAGGGAGTATCCACCTGGGCCTCTAGCCTTCTCAGATTATGTGTGAGACATAGCTACCGCCAGTTCCTCTGCAGAAATATGGGCCTGCATGGAGGCTAAATCCACTTTTGGGATGCTTGGAAGGCCTGAATCTTTCAAATACTGTCGAATAGTCTCCATCCTGTCAGAGTTCTCGGGTAGAGAACCAATGGATGGAAGGTTAAAGAGTGATTCTTAGTAGTGTTGGAAGACACTGGCAATGTCCTCCATAGCATGGATCTTCCGTTGGGTCTCGTCTATAAATTCTGGGATAAATGTGAATGCTTATTGAGCTCGAAGCGCATGGGCCAGGAGCTTGCTGCATTTGTTGCCGTGTTCATAAAAGGAGTGGCGGCATTTGGAAAGCATTGCTTTGGCCTTGTCCATAGCTAGAGAGCTCAGCTGATCCCTTAGGACCCCGAGTTCCGATAGGACCATTTTTTTATGGGCTGATTCCAAGATATGGATCTTAGTCAAAAGGTCAGTATGTTCAGCCCTCTCTCTCTTTAAACAGGCTCCCAGCTTAATTAGGATCCCTCTAGCGTAAGCTTTGTGTGTCTCCCATACTTTCATCGGTATACTGTCTGGGCCTGCATTGGTGGAAAAAAAAGCTGTAGTTCCCTACACACTTCTTTCACCATCTCTAGTTTCTGGAGTCGAGTCATTTAATTTCCAGTGCCACAGCTGAGGCTTGAAGGACAATAATTCTATGTCCATCTAGACGGGCATAGGCCAAAAAGGTAATCGAACCAATGGATGTTGCTTGTACCCTCAACAAAAGAGAATGGGGGATCAAAAAAAGATAAATTCTGGTGTAAGAGTCATGAGGGTGCGAGCAGAACGTGTAGATGCGGAGGGTCGGGTGGAGTATTCTAAAGACATCCACCAGGTGAAAGGCATGGATGTTTTTCTTCTAGTGTTTTAATGCTGCGTAGGAAACATGTGAGGCAGTTTTGGATGTGTCAAACATCGGATCCATAGTAAAATTAAGGGTGCCTCCCATGAGAAGTGACCCTTCTGCAAAGTCCGCCAGTTTCCAGAGGACCTGCTCTAAAAATGTGATCTGATTCGAATTAGGAAGATACAGTATAAGTTCACTAAAGTGAACAGCGTGTTGCCAAGCAATCCCATTCACAAATAGCCCCCCCCTTTGCATATACACCATTGATCCCTGAAGTCCCAGTGAACAGCTCTGTTAGGCAAAATAGTCACTCCTTTAGATTTAAAGTCTGGAAAGCATCTATGATACACTGTTGGAAAGTCATGAAAAGTTGAGGCAGTCATGAAGTTTTGGTATTCTATCCGCACGGATGTATGTCTCCCGAAGAAAACAAATATGAGCCTTCAGGTGTCACATATTAGAAAGCAGCATAGAGTGATTCTCTGGTGTATTCAACCCCTTGACATTGATGGACAGTAGTAGGGTGAGCTCCAACCCACCAGCAGTCATGGGGAAGGGGGGGGGAGTCAGGAATAGAGAAAGAAGAGAAATAAAAATGAGGAGAGATGCAGTGGCGGTTGGCATGGGAGATATAGAGAGACAAGAAAAAGAGGGGAAGAGAGAACAAAAGGAAAGAAGGAAACGGAGAAAGAGACAAGTGAGGGGAAGAGAGCGAAAGATGGGGATCCAATGAATTCCCCTGCAATAGAGTAGAAACTAGGTCACCTAAGGTAGTAGAGAAAATTCTCAAGCACCCTCAAACACTTACAGGGCAATGCCCACAGGGTGAAACTCAAGCACCTTCAAACACTTAAAGTGCAATGCCCACAGGGTGAAACTCTATGTGGGGGAGAAGTTAGAAACAGCGGGGGTCAGAGACTTCCTATCCCAACCCTAACCCACATACAATACATCCATCAAGCAAGATATAACGAAAATGCCAGGTGATGACAGAGTGGCATGACCTTTAACCCAACAATTCATGTAACAACATGTGCTAACTCAAAATGCAAACTTAGTCTAAGAAAACCAATAATCCAATAAGAGTTTCAGTCCCCAAACCCTCCCAGGATGCAGGGCAGGGCTTCCGACATCAGCAATCCGACAGGGGGCACCCCATCAGCCTTGAGGGAGAAGGAAGAAGACAGGAAAGAGCCAGGGGATGGGGTCTGGGAGCAAAGGAAGGGGAGGGAGGGGGGAAGGTGGGAGCATCGGAAAGAGCAGTAAGAGGTGGGGTGTGAAGGGCAGTCACTGAGAGACGTCATTTTGAGCAACCTGCTTGTGTCTAATAGCCCAGAGGTGCCACTATTCGCAGCTGTGGCTGTCAATCACCGGGTCCCGGAGGTGATTACTCACTGGCTTCCAGTGATTCACGATCATCTCTTACGGGGAGGAGAACTGTATGTATACAATACAGTTCTCCTCCCTGTCAGCACGTGCACACTGCTTTGGATGGCTGTGCATAGCACAGCCATCCAAAGCAGTGTGCTTACAGTGAAGCACATGGACCAGGGGTGGACTGACAACTCATGGGGCCCCTGGGCATTTGGGGATCATGGGGCCCCTGTGTCCTTGCCCACACTCAAAACACACCCAAAAAAAGCCTATAAAAGGTACCAGGGGCATTTTTGGGGCCCCCTTCTGACCCCAGGCAGTGCCCGAGAGCTCGAAAGGTCAGTCCACCCCTGACATGGACACAGCACGGAGTAAAACAGCACACAGTTAACAGTTTCATCACCCCACATGTTAACCCCTTCCTGCCCAGTGCCATTAGTACAGTGTCAGTGCTTTTTTTTTTAGCACCGATCACTGTATTGGTGTCATTGGGGATGTCAGTGACACCAAATCAGTTCCCCCCAGTGTCAGAATGCCCGCCACAGTCCTGCTATAAGTCACTGATCGCCGCCATTACTAGTAAAAATAAAAAAAAAAATTCCAGTATCTATACCGCCATTTGTAAACGCTCTAACATTCACGTAAATCAATTAATCTACACGTATTGGGATTTTTTTTAGCAAAGACATGTAGGAGAATAAATTTTGGCCTAAATTTTAAAATTTTTTTTTTTTATACTGGGCATGTTTAATAGCAAAAAGTCCAAAATATTGTTTTTTTATCTCAAAATTGTCAGCCTTTTTTTATAGCGCAAAAGATAAAAAACGCAGTGGCGATCAAATACAACCGAAAGAAAGCTCAATTCATGGGAAAAACAGGACGTTAATTTCATTTGGGTGCAACGTTGCATGGCCGTGCAATTGTCAGTTTAAGTAAATCAGCGCAGTAATGCAAAAAATGGCCTGGTCAGGAAGGGGGGTAAATCCTCAGGAGGGCAAGTGGTTAAAAATTAGGAAGTTTTTTAGGGGGTGGGTGCAAGTAGCTGGTCTTGCCTAAGGCGCAAAATAGTCTAGTACTGGCTGCTGTGGATGCCTGTGAGTCTATCCTAAATGATAACTCCAGAAAGTTATCTTCCTGTAGGGTCCAGGGCTATTCCTCTGGCAGAACGCCACCCCCCACCCCTCTGTCCACCATCATCCATAATGTATTATCCACCGCATTGTCAAAAATGGGGCAGAAGGTGGGCTATGTAACTATTAGGCCTCTTTTCTACATGACAGTCAAAGAAACAAGGGTAAAACTCTGGGGATGACTATTCCCACACCACGGACAAATACCCAGGATATGGGAGATATGGGAGAGAGAAAAAAGACCGGGGAGATAGCTGTGTTTTCATCCCATATGGCTAATAGAACCCGTAGGCATGCTGCCCCAGAAAGACCCCTCCTCCCGCAGTCATATAAAGGTTGTGAGTCCAAAACCACCTCCCATGGCAGCTAGATGTTATGTCAAACAAACTCAGGTGAGAAAAATGTTATAACTCCAATGGCTATATGATCATCTGTCACCGCAGAGTTAATACGCTTCCACTATCAAGAGCAAGAGTCCCCCAGGTGAAGCATGAAGCTGCTGGTAGTCCTTATGATGTTGTTTCTCCAGCCTGAACAGCAGAGCTTCAATGTCCAACTTAGTGGAGAAAGCCTGGATTAGCGCCCGCATGTCCGCATCATCCTAGGTAGGTTGTGTGGAAGAGCACATGTTATAAGATGCCTGGGAGGAGGAGGCGAAAATAGAGGGCACCCCTGATACGAAGTCAGGCCCATTTGATTGTGATGCGGCCATGCCGGGAGAGGTGTGCTGAGCGTTAGGCCTCAAAGTGCAGTGTAGCTCCGTGAGCTGTGATGCAGGTGAGGAGTGCTGGCTGTCCGGGAAGAAATATCTGATTTCTGCTGCAGAAGGTACCCAGGAGGTGCTCTTGGTTTTCCGGCATTTAGGATAGCTGATGGTAGGTAAAGAGCGGTATTAGGCGAGTTGAGAATCGGGAGCTCCAGCAGGACACATCTTCACTCTGTCATTGCCAAGGCATGCCCCCACACTCACAGGTTTAACATATCATCTGAATGAGGAGTTATGACAACAGGGAAAGGCCCTCATACATAATACAGGGACTACAGAAGTGTGTGATGACTTCTATAAGAAAAATACTTTGTACTAATGTTATCATATTCTGTACAACGTGTTTTTGCATGTTCTTTCTATGTATTCTGCTGTGGATGTACTCCTAATTTGTTTAAATAAACTAAAACAAAAACCCTTTAAAATCCCTAAATAATAATTCCTGATATCAAAAAAGTACATTGTTGATATAAATTCACAGCACAACTCAGAAAAAAAATGTGTTACTATCTCTAAACTTACAAAATGCCTTCATCTCTTTCTTGTGGAGAACATGCCTTAAAACCTCAGAAAGTAGGATTTTTGCGACAAATGTGATTCTTAGAAGGTAACAATCTATAGTTATCCAAGCATATCTTGTTTTGCTACTCTGGTGATGATTTCATTCCACGCTTTTTATCATTTTTGTGTGTTGCATGGTCCAGCTTCTTTTGAGTGTTAGTTCACAGCAAGAAAACCATTTGGTACATTTTCCTGCAAAAATGCTCCAGCGAGGCAGGAAAACAGCCACACCATTATACTTCGTTCACTATGCTTTGCATTTGATGTTTCTCTAATGGGCTTTGAAATCTGATTTGTTGTGTCATTGCACTTCAACTATATTCTGTTATGAAGAGCAGGTAACTAAAATGTGATTTTTTTTTTTTTTTATATAAAACAAATGATCAAACCCACATCTGCATTTTTGGAACGTCTGCCCAACATCTGTCTAACAACAGACTCACTGGAAGTCTAGGTCTAGACTTGCGTCCAAACTGCCGCTCCTCTGAAAAGACGTGTTTGACAGGCAGTGAGCAGGGTATGTGACGCCTCCTCACTGCCTGTTTTAACCCTATAATTGTCACACAAAGGCACCACAACAATGTGCACTGCATACTGTTTTGGGGCTTTTACGGTGCTTCCCCATTAACTTGAATGAGTTATGAGCTGCGGGCTTACTGTCCACTGAGACATGTCAGATCATTTTTGTCATGAGAGTGAAGTGAAGCAGCATAACCATGACCTGTGAATTTCTTATAATTTAAAAAAATGTTATACTTACCTGCTCTGTGAAATGATATTACACAAAGCAGCCCCTTACCTCGTCTTCTGTAAATCCCCTGCCGGAGCTGTCTACTCCTTCTTCCTATGTGTGCCCCCTTAGCAAGCTGTGTGCTGTAGGGGCTCCTGAGCTGAGTTATGTGCAGTCACAGACACACACAGTGCCGCTAAGCCCCCGCCCCCCCCCCTCCTCACAGGAGGTTTACTGAACACAGCATGAGCCTATGGCTCCTGCAGCTCTCAGAGTCTCCTGTGACTGTAGGAAGAGAGGAGTTTGGTGCTGCAGCTGGGACAGCACTGGATCAGTGAAAGGATCCAGTAAGTGTTTAGGGATGGGAGGGGATGGACAGTTAGTGGGGCATTTGTTTATTTATTGCAGAGAATGCAGTAAGGTAAAAATAAATTTGAGACTTCAGAATCACTTTTAAGGGGGGAGTGGTTGGAGGGGGGTAATAAAAACATCTATCAACCATGTGTTTTTAACCACTTGCTGACCAGTAGTTTAACAATTACTGCTGAACGGGAGCTTTGTTGTTCCCCTGCGACGTACCCATACATCGTAGGGGAACTTCCTGCTTTACAGGCTCGTGCACGCCCCCTGTTGCTTGTGCTGTGGTTGGACAGGATTGTGCTGCAGGATTTCAATCCATGGCGGAGTATTGTGTTACCTATGGTTTGTTTGGTGACTGTGGTCCCAACTACCTTGAGATCCTTCACAAGCTCCTCCCATGTAGTTCTGGGCTGATACCTCACTTTTCTCATGGTCATCCTTATCCCATGATACGAAACCTTGCATGGAGCTCCAGACCAATGGCAATTGGTGGTTATTTTGTTTTTCTTCCATTTGTGAATAATCTCTCCAACAGTTGTCTCCTTCTCACCAAGCTTCTTGCTGATGGTCTTTTCCAAGCTTGTGCAGGTCTGCAATCTTGTCCTTGTTGTCTTTTGATAGCTCCTTGGTCTTGCCCATGGTGGTGCCCAAGAAAAAGATTCTGTGGACAGGTGTCTTTTATACACATAACGTGTTGTTAGGAGCACCTTCTTAAATTGATAAGACTAATCTGTGTACCACATGAGCACATAGCCAGTCTGTGGTAGCCGGAATTATTGTTTGTCAATTTATAACATTTGTATCGTGTTTTTTTCTGGATTTTTGGTTGATATTCTGCCTTTATCATTTAAAATACACCTATGATAAAAATTATAGACCCTTAATTTTTTTTGTAAGTGGGTAAACTTACAAAATCTGCAGGGGATCAAATAATTATTTTCCCCACTGTACATTTTACTGGCAGTCTTGCAGTCAAGCAATATCTCCCCAGCAATCGTGGCAGATATGGGGTCAAAATGTATAAGCTCTGTGAGAGGGCAAAAGGCTATATATACCGCTTAGAATTTATGAGGCATTTTAAAACAGTCTGGATGCCTAGATACCATGGAGAGCAGTGGCAAGATAGTGTGGGACTTGTCATCACCCTTGTTCTATATGGAGTACCATTTGTACGTGGACAACTTTTATGTTAGAGTGCCACTTTTTAGACATTTGTTCCATAAAGGAATTGGCTGCTGTGGCATTGTGCGACCTAATCGCAGAGGCTTCCCCCCAACGGCTTTTTAAACACCTCACTTAGGGGGAGAAAGCCTGTTTTTGGAATAAATAACTACTAGCAGTAAAATGGAAAGACAAACGTGATGTATTCATCCTGTCTTCCGTTTACCCACAATGGTCCAAATTCACAGTTTGGTGTTGTTGAAAACCCTCTGTGTCCACAACTATAATCTACATATGGGAGGTGTAGACTCCAGTGACCAAATGATGAAGCCAAATGTATAAATCCTGTATAATAATAAAGCCATATTTAGCCTCCCGCGGAGCCAGACACTGGTACAAAAAAGTGTCTATTTAATTGGCTCTATACAATTTTATTTACAAAGCTACTCGAAGAACTGAATTCTTCCTAAACTTTCAGGAAGTGTTTGTTTGAGCCCTTTTTTTACCCAGAAGATACTGCGGCCAAAAGCCCAAATTCAGATGCAGCTAACCGGATGCAGGACAGACATTTTCCAGATTTCCTCCAACCTACCCCAACACATAGGTCACCCCAAAAAAGATGTTGTGTCTGTAGTAAACGTGGAAAAAGGCGTCCCTCCTGTCCTTATCAACCTGGCCTCTTCATCAAGGACTGCTTCCATGGCTTTGACACTGTAGACAAATATTAGTCTAGAGGAGTGGTCTCCAAACTGCGATCCGTGGCACAAATGCAGCCCTTTGCTTGCCTCTATTCAGCCCACAGGGTACTATTCCTCGCACTGATACCAAGGAGGCACCATTTCTTTCAC